CCTTCCCTATCTCTCCCCCTGCATGTCCTATCTCTCCCCTCCTTCCATCCTCCCCTCTCCCTCCTACATGTCTGCCTCCTTCCCTATCTCTCTCTCCCCCCACCCTGCATGTCTGCCTCTCACCTTCCTATCTCTCTCCCTCCCTGCCTCATGTCTGCCTCACCTTTCCTATCTCTCTCCCCTCCTACCTGCATGTCTGCCTCTCCTTCCTATCTCTCCTCCTACCTGCATGTCTGCCTCACAGCCCTATCTCTCTCCCCCTACCTGCATGTCTGCCTCTCCACCTTCCCTATCTCTCTTACCTGCATGTCTGCCTCCTTCTATCTCTCTCCCTCCTGCATGTCTGCCCTCACCTTCCCTATCTCTCCCCCTGCATGTCTGCCTCCTTCCCTATCTCTCTCCCCCTACTGCATGTCTGCCTCCTATCTCTCTCCCCCTACCTGTGTCTGCCTCTCTCTCCCTCCTACTGCATGTCTGCCTCTCCTTCCTCTCTCTCCCCTGCCTCACCTTCCCTTCTCTCTATAGTTTCCTTCCTTCCCCATCCTCATTCCTATCTCTCCCTCCTACCTGTGTCTCCCTCACCTTCCTATCTCTCCTCCCTACCTGCATGCTCTCACCTTCCCTATCTCTCTCCCTCCTACCTGCATGTCTGCCTCTCACCTTCCTATCTCTCTCCCTCCTACCTGCATGTCTGCCTCCACCTTCCCTATCTCTCTCCTCCCTACCTGCATGTCTGCCTCTCACCTTCCCTGTCTCTCTCCCTCCTACCTGCATGTCTGACCTTCCCTCTCTCTCCCTCCTACCTGCATGTCTGCCTTTCTCCCTCCCTCCTGCATGTCTGCCTCCCACCTTCCCTATCTCTCTCCCTCCTACCTGCATGTCTGCCTCTCACCTTCCTATCTCTCCCTCCTACCTGCATGTCTGCCTCACCTTCCCTATCTCTCTCCCTCCTACCTGCATGTCTGCCTCACCTTCCCTATCTCTCCCCTCCTACCTGCATGTCTGCCTCCTTCCTATCTCTCCTCCTCCACTACCTGCATGTCTGCCTCTCATTTCCCTATCTCTCCTCCTACCTGCATGTCTGCCTCCACCTTCCCTATCTCTCTCCCTCCTACCTGCATGTCACCTCACCTTCCCTCTCTCCTCCTGCCTGCATGTCTGCCTCACCTTCCTATCTCTCTCCTCCTACCTGCATGTTGCCTCACCTTCCTATCTCTCTCCTCCCTACCTGCATGTCTGCCTCTCACCTTCCTATCTCCTCCTGCATGTCTCCTCCCTTCCCTATCTCTCCTACCTGCATGTGTCTGCCTCTCACCTTCCCTATCTCTCTCCCTCCTACCTGCATGTCTGCCTCTCACCTTCCTATCTCTCTCCCTCCTACCTGCATGTCTGCCTCACCTTCCCTATCTCTCTCCCTGCATGTCTGCCTCACCTTCCTCTCTCCCTCCTATGTCTCCCTCTTCCCTCCTGCATGTCTTGCCTCCCACCTTCCTATCTCTCTCCCTCCTACCTGCATGTCTGCCTCTCTCTTCCTATCTCTCTCCTACCTGCATGTCTGCCTCACCTTTCCTATCTCTCTCCCTCCTGCCTGCATGTCTGCCTCCCCCTATCTCTCTCCCTCCTACCTGCATGTCCTCACCTTCCCTATCTCTCTCCTCCTACCTGCATGTCTGCCTCACCCTTCCCTATCTCTCCCTCCCCTGCATGTCTGCCTCACCTTCCCTATCTCTCTCCCTCCTACCTGCATGTCTGCCTCACCTTCTATCTCTCTCCCTCCTACCTGCATGTCTGCCTCTCACCTTCCCTATCTCTCCCTCCTACCTGCATGTCTGCCTCTCACCTTCCTATCTCTCTCTCCCTCCTACCTGCATGTCTGCCTCACCTTCCCTATCTCTCTCCCTCCCTGTATGCCTTCCCTATCTCTCCCTCCCTGCATGTCTGCTCTCACCTTCCCTATCTCTCTCCTCCTACCTGCATGTCTGCCTCTCACCTTCCCTATCTCTCTCCCTCCTACCTGCATGTCTGCCTCACCTTCCCTATCTCTCCCTCCTACCTGCATGTCTGCCTCACCTTCCCTATCTCTCTCCCTCCTACCTGCATGTTCTGCCTCACCTTCCTATCTCTCTCCCTCCTACCTGCATGTCTGCCTCACCTTCCCTATCTCTCTCCCTCCTACCATGTCTGCCTCTCACCTTCTATCTCTCTCCCTCTACCATGTCTGCCTCACCTCCTGTCTCTCTCCCTCCTACCTGCATGTCTGCCTCCCCTTCTTCTCTCTCTCCTCTACCTGCATGTCTGCCTCACCTTCCTCTCTCCTACCATGTCTGCCTCCCTATCTCTCTCCCTCCTCCTGCATGTCTGCCTCCTTCCTATCTCTCTCCTCCTACCTCGTCTGCCTCACCTTCCCTATCTCTCTCTCCCTCCTACCTGCATGTCTGCCTCACCTTCCTATCTCTCTCCCTCCTACCTGCATGTCTGCCTCTCCACCTTCCCTATCTCTCTCCCTCCTACCTGCATGTCTGCCTCACCTTCCCTATCTCTCTCCTCCCTACCTGCATGTCTGCCTCACCTTCCTATCTCTCCCTCCTACCTGCATGTCTGCCTCCACCTTCCCTATCTCTCCCCTCCCTACCTGCATGTCTGCCTCACCTTCCCTATCTCTCTCCCTCCCCTCCATGTCTGCCTCCTTCCTATCTCTCTCTCCTCCTACCTCTCACCTTCTATCTCTCTCCCTCCTACCTGCATGTCTGCCTCCCCCTTCTCTCTCCCTCCTACCTGCATGTCTGCCTCCACCCTATCTCTCTCCCTCCTACCTGCATGTCTGCCTCACCTTCCCTATCTCTCTCCCTCCCTACCTGCATGTCTGCCTCACCTTCCCTATCTCTCTCCCTCTACCTGCATGTCTGCCTCACCTTTC